GACTGATGGGCAGGAAGAACCTCGCCTCAGAGGACAACAAAATTGTTGTTAATAAAGCTACACTGTAAATCGAGAGCGGAACTGTGGCCGATTTCAGGTCACATCACGAAGCCTTTCGACTGGGGTGTCTTCCCAGTCGCAATTAACCCTGGAAACGGAGAGTCACGCAATGTGAAAACCCATACGAGAGTTTGAAGGGGAACTAGGTTAATTCAAGTCGATGGGGCAAAATTTTCATTCCCTCACTGGTCTACACGCGTCCGCGTCGCACGTTTTATAAGCGATGCACCTACGCTAGTCTTCGCAACGCAGGCAGTGAATGGTATTGATTACGAAGAGTGTGACTGATGTACGATTGTGGGAGCATACGTTGGAAAGGCTGTCTATCTGGAGAAGGGCACAGATGGGAATGCCGAAGACTCCGTATGGCAGGATAGTAATCAACACATAGTAGGATCGTAGCCTTTACTCAGTTGTAAGTTAAGATTAGGGTTATATTTTCCATTAGATACTCTTTACCTCGTCTATCTGGTTATTCTCAATGGAAGTCGGTGTACGTACAGTTGCTAAAACATGATGCCGTGAGTTTGACCTATTTTCGTAGGCAAACGATTTGGTAGACTTGTTTCTAATTAGGCTTAACAGAGTCAATACCAGAGCAAATTCCCTTGTGCGTCAAAAAATCGGGACCCTCTGAGAGTTATCTTCGTACGCGTAATGCAATAGCGTAAACTGTAACAGGTGAACTACATAAAGGTATCATTGTTGATATGGTCCACAGAACATGAATTAGGTTGAGATAAGGGGACCTTTGATATTGCGTACAAGTAACTGGCTTAACAATTTGATACGGAAAGCGTATACTGAGAGGACCCTGATAGCATTCTAGTCGCCCAGAGGTAGCCTGGTCGCAGGCTAGTGTTGCGGTTGACTGAATTTTTTCAGCAATCTTGGCAGACATTGTCCACACGCATGCAGTAAGTTGACGCGCCTTCTCAGGCGAGTTAGGGGCGCTGTCTCCCAGGACGATTTAAGTCGTCAGACAGGCGTCACAAATTCCGGATAAAGTGCGTGCGTACGCACAAAGGGACCCCGCAGGCGTTATGTGCGAGCGCAGGCGTACGCGTGCATATGCACTCGGATAAGCATCGAGGTGTAGCAAAAAGGCTCTTTTCCTCGCACAGACCGAACATCGTCAACCGATTAGATTAGTAGCCCCGCACTAGCCCGTTTGATTTGCGTGCTAGTGTAGGGCTAGTATACTAGATTATAATCTAATCAGTTTTACCTTTACTTGAAATACTAGTCTACAGTTTGTCAGAAACCTGAATTCCCGGACCTTCTCGGCCAACAGTTTCCTTTCTCGAAAAGGGGAACATGAGAACCAACAGCGGATCTGGACAAACGGCACGAGAAAAAACACTCATGGAAGCGGAAGTGGGGCTAACCTGGGCGAAAAGCACTTCTAGTGAAATTGACACGGGAGGCGGAACTCACAGCAAATAAGCACTATATTTTTGTGCTTGAAGACGGCTTACCATAAATATAAACATTGAGGGAAGGGGGCCCTCGCCGATCGCGATATGGGACATTCGTCTTGCTTTGTGCCTTTGGACTCAATATTGAGCCCTGCCAGAAGCCACGCAGCGGCTATTAGTACATATACGTCTGCATACAGGGGATTGTCCCTTATCTCGAATGACGGTGAAAATGGGCATTAAACTAATGGTACCGTAAAGAATGATGCAATTTATAAATAAATTATGACATTGTGGGCAAAAAGATGGGACCGGTTTTTATAGAGGCTGTTACTTGAAAAGAGGAACCAAAGACGAAGATGAGTCTTGTCTAGTTGCCTCCTTTTGGATTCCAATATGTCCAGGTCCTACAAGAGCTCCAGATAATTCCTTAATATTCGCTGTATAGTAAAACCGACGCGCTTGCACCTCTTGCAACATGCGTTGCTCGAATGGAAGTCTGCTAACGCCTCTCACGTCCCTAGATGCAGATCAAACTAGGGTGCATGGTGATCGACCGAGTCCGAGGGTTGTCCCTCTTGAGCACATGTGGGCTGTTAGCATGTGTACGCTCCTTGTGCAGATCGATTTCAAGAAACAGTCGCCCTTTTCAAGTAAGTTCCGTTGCTTATTTTTGAAAGACTGGGACAAACGGGGTCGTATGCTGAAATCTCATGTGCTAGTCCTGCCTTTCGACCTTATCCTTCCCTATTACGCCCATGCCCCAGGACGAGGACATTTGCTAGCGGGGATAGAATAATGAAATGCGTCGGGTGATTAGAAGCACGGTAAATAGCTAACAGCCTGCTAGCACTCCCCACACCTCAGCATCATTCCACCATTACATAGTATGCACTCACAAGGCAGTCCCCTACTCACAGACTCTATCTGCCCTCGTTGATCCTGGTCGTACTGCATATGAAAAACTTTTGTTTACGTAAGATCGGCCCAATAATTCAGAAAAGGGCGCAACACGCTGCGGGCGTTGGTTGGTCTGGTGGCACTTTGTCTCCCCCTGTCGCGTGAGTTCGCCGTCGGGTGTGTCCGCGTGGCGGCTGCACACAGTTATCAAGTCCGCCGAACATCCACCAAAAAAACTGCCAGCCAAATAACGATTGATTACTGAGGACGCGGCGCGTCATGATGGTCGAGGAGTGTGTGCCTATCTCTCGGCCATTATGGCGCACCGCATCCTCATTGAATGAGCGATATTTTTTTATTTCGCTGCCGTTCCTTCTATGGGTATCTGTCTAACCCGACACATCCGCTAGTTGCACACATCACTGCATCTCCACCTCCCCAATGAGGCCTCGTCTGCAAGCTCGAGGGAGACCGTGAGTACTCAGCAAGTTTCTGTCTCAGTGGCTAGAAGACCTGTCCCTTTCTACTCCTTCGCACCTATTCTCCACCACTCTCCTTCAACCTCACTCTCTCTAATCTCTACTCTCTCTCTCTCCCTTCCCTCAGTCTTGCGGCCCACCGGATCGCCGTCTCCAAAATGAGGCTTAATCTGCAACCCACAGGGGACCACAAGGTAAGTGGCCATCCAGGTAAGCTGAATGTCGCTTGGTCGTCTTTGCCTAATAACCCATGCTTTTCGGCACTCAGCAAGCTACTGGCCTAGCGGGTGAATGACATTTCCCTTTCTACTCCTTCGTACCCTTTTCCGCACTCCTCCTTAGTCTTTCATTCTCTCTGTCCTCAACTTTACTGTCTCGCCCCACGGTCGAAAATCCTACGGCGAGAGCGACAGCAGACCCGTAGGCGGCCAGGCCGCTAGTCGTTCTATCGCTTCAGCCCGTGACCCATATCGGAGAGCGTTATCCGTCTGCTGCGACAAAGCTGCCCTATTGGGAGAGAGCACTGCTTTCCCCCGCAAGGGCGAGAGGGCTATAAATAGTGTCCCAAAAAGCTGGGTTCACGGCATCTGCGAGCAGGCCGTGATTCCCAGACTGTTTAATATGCGGTCCAAACCAAAACACAAGACGAAATACTCTTCTCTTCCACCCCCTCTTCCTCGCTGCCCCACCCAACAGGCAGCCAGGGTGGGTCCACTCATTCTGGCGGCCTAGAATGTTCGTTCGCTTTAAGATAATCCCAGGAGCAATCTACCGGAACGGAGGATGGCGCTAGCGGCTCGGGAGGTGGTACAATAAAAGGTGGGCATCGCCGCACTCAGCGGGACCCGTTTCTCCCAACAAAGCCAACAGGAGGAGGTGGGTGCCGGTTGCATCTTCTGGAGCGATCGCTCCAGGGCTGAGTGACGTGACGCTGGCGTCGCCTCGCCCATCCGGAACGACAACGTGGGACGACTGCCCTGTCTGCCGCACAGCACCAACAATCGCATGATGAGCCTCCGGCTGCCTCTCCTGGGAGACAAATTAGTCACCCCCGTCAGTGTTTGCGTTCCCCCGATGACCAGCCCTGACGAGGCGAGAAACATATTACACGAGGACTTGCACGTCCTCCTGGCTACTGTGCCGATGGCGGATAAGCTGATCGTCCTTGGTGACTTTAGCGTCCGCGTCGACACAGACCATGCTGTCTGGAGAGGAGTGCTGGGTTCCCATGGTCTCCAAGGCTCCAATGAAAATGACCTATTCCTCCTACGAACCTGCGCAGAACACCGTCTCATCCTGACAAACATCTTCTCCCGCCTTCCGAAGCGAGAGGAGGCCACCTAAATGCACCCTCGGTAGCGAACTTGGTACCCGCCGGACAAATTCCTCGTCCGGAGACTGGAAAGGTGAGATGTGCTGATGACAAAGGCGATTCAGTATGCTGACGGGCGGATCGACCATCACCTCGTCATCTCCACGATGAGGATTCGTCTAGAACCTCACAGGAGACCTCAGGTTAAGTCACCCCCAGGTAAGCTTAATACTGCTTTGTTGTTATTGCCTGCTCACAGTCTCCACTTCAGCAGTGAACTAGCCCGAGGGTTAGCCAATCTTCCCGTCACCGCTGCGGTGACCGACGTGAACGCCTCCGTAGAGAACCGATGGTGTCGGTAGAAGGTCACTGTCCAGTCAACCGTCCTGGTTGTCCTCGGTAGCGCACGCCGCCATCATCAGGACTGGCTGGACGACAATAACGCCGTCATTAACAATCTACACGAGGAAAAGAACCGACTGCACAAAGCCTGCATCCGTCGCCCCATCGACGACAACAAGCAGAGTTCTATTGTAGTCGCCGCCTTGTGCAACAGCGGCTGCGGAGGACGCAGGGGGCCTGGACGGTTTGCATGGTCATGAAGATACAAGGGTACGCGGACCGCAATAAATGGAAGAACTTCTTCCCCGAGATCAACTCTGGCTACCGTCCCACAGCCAAAGGGACTGATCCTCTTCTCATCTGTCGACGCCAACGACGGAATCCTCTGTATTCGCCATCTTCTAGTAGTTTGGTCGGTCTGCAAAGAGACCCCATAGTGGTATCTCTCCTGCCGTCTCTCCGGCTGGATTCGAAGCGGACTGTGACCGATCACGCCTGTGTTTCTCTCGTTTCGCTGCTTTGACGCGAATGTCCTCATCCGACGTATGAATTCTGCCCTGACGATTTCCGTAGCAAGACCGTATACGCTACCCCATGCAGGCCAGTCCTCCCTGTCCCACATTCTTACCCTTTCATGAGTGAAATTTCTTTCTGCCCTAATGATGTCAGTTAAGAAGCCGTTATACACTACCGCATGCAGGCCGGTCCTGTCCGCACTCTTTTCCTTCCATGAACGACAGTTTTTCTCCTTCAAAGTTAATCTAACCACATTCATTTTCTTTGCTCGATAGGGGAGTTTTCTCACTGCTAACCAATTATTTTCTGACCAAACTGCTTATCCGAAAGTATGAGCTTAATAATCTGAAGATTCTGTCCATCTGTTTTAAAATGCATATGAAAATTTATTTTTACTTGCTATGATGGGACCCCCAAATTTTTTTATTAAAAATTAATTTTTATTTTTATTATCAGCATCAATGGTCTCAACGTCTGCTGCGGCAGCCCCCATACCCACCACCAATGCGTACAATCCAGACGCACCAACAAACATTAACCCCCAACTAACAACGCCAGCGATGCAGACTCGGCACATACCCCTCCTCACTGCGAACGCACTTTCACGTCACACACCAGCCTAATCGATCATTTGCGAATCCATCGCATGGAGACTGGCGAACCAGTGCCTGGAGCACCAAACTACATTCGCTCCCTTCGCCTCCACTGCTGACACTGCCGGCGCACTCACTCGCCAAATGGCCTATTCGGTCACAAAGGCATCCACAAGAGCGGAGTTCACCACAATCTCGACGCAGTCGGCACATCTTGCACACCCACCATGCCTAGCTTAGCCCAAACCCCACCGTCCAACGCGGCCACAATCAGCAGCTCCACCGCTGCCACCATCTGCGGAACCGGCACCCCTGACCTCTCCTGTCCACATTGTCCTCGGTCATTCACCTCACGCATCGGCCTGGACAGTTAGTTGCGAATCCATCGTACAGAGGCTGGCGAACCACTGCCTGGAGCACCAACATACACTAGCCAAATCCACCACAACTGTCCTCACTGCACCTGCACACCCACCCACAGCATGGGCATATCAGGCCACATGCACATTCAAGAAAACCTGCGGTAGACAACCGCCGGCTAAATCACACCATCACATCTTCCCCCACGGATGCCTGCATCACACAACATCATCGTTCGTCACCAGCATCCAACTGTTACCTCCCAAGCAAGTGAGAGGTGTTAATATCAACTCTGTCTCCATGCAGCTCCTATTGCATGCATGATTCGAGTCTGAGACTATCACGGCGCATCAACGACTGTGGCTTGGAAGGCTGCCAACTGACGGAATAACCTGGAGTTCGCCGTCGGCTTAGTGTTGTGTTTGCGTGGTGTGGCCGGCTGGTGGTCCAAGTGTAAGACTGCAATGCCCCCTTAATGTAGCCATTGTGGCACTCCAATTCCGTGGAATCCGAGCCAGTTGTGACGGCGTGCTTGAGTGCGGCTTCGGCCGTGCCAGCATCGCCCCTCATTTTTGTTGTTGTTAATAATAATTGCATTTAATATCAGTTTACAGGCACTGTCAGGGAAAGATTATACACAAATCCGGCCAGCAGTTAAAAAACCCCTGACGAAAGATAAAGACCATAGTGGTTTTTATAGTTTGGAGGATTCATGAGAAAAAAACTGTTTCCCATGAAATGACGACAGTCAAGAAAGGGAGGGGTAGAACTGCATCCCATATTATCAGTCGCCATTTTTCACGAAGATGGGACTAGACCAAACAGAGACACTAAAAAACTGTCGCTTTTGGCTAATGAAATGGCCCCTGGTGAGACCGGCAATGGGGATTAGAGACCACGAACGCCATCGCTACGGTATATTCCATCGGTGTATTCAGCACCCAAAATTTATGGGAGTTTTCTGAATGCAAAAAGCGAGTAATCTTTCTATAAAACAAAGGGTAACTTTGCAGAATTTTCATATTCCTGGGTAATTTATCCCAAAGATCAATTGCGTTCACAGAAAAGAACTGACGGTATTTAACGGTACGTACCGGAGGAAGAAATAAAAGGACCTCACGGGGACTGTTATGTCGGGGGTGGACGAGATGTTTTAAAGTAGTGAGCGGTTTTAAGTTCGATTATATAAAAGCTTAGATATTAAAAATAGTCCATTTTGTAATCTACCAAACCACAAAGGATCAAGGCCTGTAAGCCGGCAACGTTCTTGGTAAGACAAATTCCGGTGTTACGGGGTTAAAACTCCCTTGGTAGAAAAGAATTGTTAGACGGATTCAATTTTCCTCCGCTCAGAACCACGCATGGGGCTAAATAAAAACGAACAGTATTCTAGGCCAGGTCTAATGTTCATGTCATCAATGTGCACTCCAATATTGCTAGCTTTGAAGTTTCGGAGGATAGGCCCAATCGTTCGACGTGCTTTGGAGACTATCATAGCGCAGTGCTTCCAAAGATTAAGATAACCCAGATCCTTAATAACCCCAGGCACATTTATTTCCTGACTGTCAATACTTAGCTGAGGTTGGTGGTCGTCGCCAATCATAATGACTGAACAGTTATGTCAAGAAAGAAAAAGGTGCCATGTGCATCACCTCTGGCCGAAGACCTGCAGGCTACTCTTTAGGAGCTCGAGCACGATGTCACGATCTGCCTACTTATATCGATATGCAATTTCAGGTCATCGGCATACATGAAAGGCTTACCATTCTGAAATAGATCGGCTACATCGTAAACAAAAAGGCAAAATAAAAGCGGGCCGAGTACACTACTCTGAATAACACAACTCCTCACACATGTGGGGTTGGAGATAGCATTGGAAATCTTAACGCGTTGTGTACGAGCGCCCAGGTAAGAGGATATAACATTCCAAAGTTTATCACCCATTCCGAAAGAGGACAGTTTCAAGAGAAGAAAAGCATGGTCAACACAATCAAATGCCTTAGTGGAATCGAAATATACTGTGTAAAATGCAAAATCATTGTCCCTAGATTGGAGAACATAGTCAAAGAAAGAGAGTTGACAGGTGTCACAAGACCGAGCTTTGAGTAATGCATGCTGAGTAACACTCAGTAGGTTATTTTCTGTTATGTGACACTTGATCTTATCTTTGATCAATGTCCCTTACATCTTCAAAACTGCGGGGTGTGTTTATTGGCCGAAAATGATCAGTGCCGTAGAATAGACATGCTAGGGAATAGGCAAAATATGTGATTTCTTCCACAAAGTAGAAACGGTTTCACTTTAAAGAGCGAGATTAAATGTCTTGCATAAGAGGGATTGGAAAATTTTATTTGCATCCGCTTTTAGAATGCTAACCAGGACACCATTAGGTCCGTGACTATGAGATTGACGAAGACGCCGAATCACTACGGTCACGTCATCCAGAGTGAAAGTTATTGTTTCGAGAGCGGCATCAGTCCACGCCCGGATGTTTGGAAGTGGAGCATTCGAGTTTTTAATAAACGCTTTGGGCATGAAAGCATTAAAACTATCAGCGGTCAACTGGGCATCAGCTATAGGGTTCCCGAAAGCGTCTCGGGGGATGGGGTGCTGCGTTTTTCCAGAAGGTCTCACTTTTCGAGAAAAACGTTTCTCGACATTCAACGATCGGTTTTTGGCGAAATGAAACTTTCCGGGTAGCCGTTTTTCTCGGACAATCTTTTAGCCCGTTCAAAAATATCACAACTCGAGTGCAGAACGGAAACTTCGTTCTGAAGATAGAATCCACGAGAAAGTCTGCCCAATCTGCTGGCAAAGGCTAAAGGTAGGAAAACGTCATCCAAGACATTAATTATTTTCTTACGGAGGACAAAACGAGGGATAAGCGGATCCAACATTTCGTACACTTTGGCGGTGCAAACATTCATATCCGAACTTAGGAAAAAATCAGTCCAATCGTGTGAATTAAGGTGTGTTAATAATTCGGTCGAGCGAGCTGATCAGAAATCGAAGTAGAAGCTATACTTCGGGAACAAAATTTTGTCAGCCTCGAGTTATAACGTTGAAAAAACTATGTCGTGGTCTGAGCCCCCAAGTGGGCCTAGGGATGACAATAACAAGGGCATACGAACCCTACAGAACATGAGGTCAAGTATGCTTAATGCTTGGATGGGAAAATCGATAATTTGACTCCATTTTAATACCCGAGTTACCTGAAGGTT